ATACGTATGCCCTTTGTGGCCCCCGCTCGTTCGCGCCCGTCGTGGCCCCATGTGCATGCCCTTCGTGGCCCCGCTGTCGCCCTTTGTGGCCCCCTCGCTGTCCTACGTGGCCCAGTTGCTACCCTCAGTGGCCCCGTCGTGGCCTTCTGTGGCCCCGCAGTATCTGCCCTTCGTGGCCCCCGCTCGTTCGCGCTCTTTGTGGCCCCATACGCATTCCCTTCGTGTCCCGCTGTCGCCCTTCGTGGCCTACTTCGTGCCCTTCGTGGCCCTGCTGTCGTTCTCTCTCTCGCTCGCGCTTTCGCTCGTCGTCGTCGTCGTTGCCGTCGCCGTCGTCGTCGTCGTCGTCGTCGTCGTCGTGGTCGGTCCCCTGTCCGTCCCTCTTGGGGTCGGGTTGCCGCCGATCAGCGCTGCCGCTGGCCAGGCCGACGGCCCGCTGCCGCCCCGCCGCTTGCCAGGGCCCGGCTTGCAGGGAAGAAAGGTCTATCTCCAAAAGGGGTGCGATCGAAGACGAAGAGGGCGGGTATCGAGGGTTTGGGAAATACGCGTTAACGGACTCTCGAGCAGATAAGAGCGAACAGTCTTAAAATGATTGTTGTTGTTGTTGTTGTTGTTGGTGTTCTTATGTCTTCTTCTTCTTGTGGTAGTAGTCTTCGTAGTAGTAGTAGTAGTAGTAGTAGTAGTAGTAGTCGTAGTAGTAGTAGTAGTAGTAGCAGCCGTAGCCGTAGTCGTAGTCGTAGTCGTAGTTGTAGTACTAGTCGTAGTAGTAGTAGTAGTAGTAGTAGTAGTAGTAGTAGTAGTAGTAGTAGTAGTAGTCGTAGTAGTATTCTTACTCGTAGTAGAAGTAGAAGTAGTCGTAGTAGTCCTACTCGTCGTCGTACTACTAATAGTAGTAGTAGTAGTAGTAGTAGTAGTAGTAGAAGAAGAAGAAGAAGAATAAGTAGTAGTAGTAGTAGTAGTAGTAGTGGTGGTCGTAGTAGTAGTAGTAGTAGTAGTAGTAGTAGTAGTAGTAGTAGTAGTAGTCGTAGTAGTAGTAGTAGTAGTAGTAGTAGTAGTAGTAGAAGAAGAAGGGTTGCACCGCGCCTTCGTACAAGGCCTACTCTAATTCCTATAAAGGGAATTGCGAAAGCCGTCGTTTCAAACCTGGCCTTCGTGTATTTCGCGCCAATGCCTACCTTCATGCACTTTTCGGTGTATAGGCTGTATATTGGATTCGCATTAGAAAGTGAACAAAAAAGGCGGTTTCAAACCTGTCCTTCGTGTCGTCGTCGGTTTTGGAGCAACCGCCAGCACCAGCCACTGAAACGCCATGTGTCTCCTCGGCGTCAACTTCTTTGTCTTCGGAGCCCGCGCAGGTTTGTCTCACATCCTTGCCGCGGAGTCTGAAGTGCATGAGAATGCACTTGCACAAGTGCAAAGGAGGATTCTTACACAAGGGCTTCCCAGTAATATTCCCACGCAAAGGGTCGTCGATAGGATCCCACAGTGGGCTGTCGGACTTCCATGCAATGGAGTTCCGATTGGGTTCCGGTGCGCATGGTTTCCATATGGATTCTTGAAGAATTGGGGTTTCCAGTCGGATTCTTGCACGCCAAGTTTCCAGTAGGGCTTCTATACCATGGGTCTCCGATCAAATCCTACACAATGGGCTTCCACGTATTCTTATACGCGGAGCTGACAATGGGAGTCCGACGCGTTGGATTTCCAATCGGACTCCTAGACACTGGGTCTCCAATCGGATTCGCATGAAACCAGTGTCAACTCGGACTCGGAGTCCCGCGCAATGTGTTCCCAACATGATTTCTTGACAAATGGCTTCGGGTTGGGATCCTATACGATGGGTTTCACATGGGGTTCCGACACAACGGCCAGTAGGATTGCTATGCCAGGAATGCCACAGCGGGTCCCGTAAACAAGGCTTCCGACAGGGTTCTGACACAATGGGTCCCCCTTCTGGTTTCTGCGCGACGGAGTTTTCAACGTGGTTCTTGCGCGATGGAATTATTGGGGCTTTCGGTGGAGCTCCTCGGGGGCCGCGCGACGTGTGAGGGGCGGGGCGAAAGCAATGCAGTGGCGGCGCGTGCGCGCAGCCGCTGGGGTCCGCGGTGGAGCCCTAGTGGGAAACGCGAAGCTTGTGAGAGGGCGAGAAAACCATGAACAATGATTGTTCTGTTGTTTTTGACGAGTGTTGGACTTTCGGGGCCCTCTTTGGTCCGTTTCGTGTATCTCTCCGGCCCGTTTTGGGGCCCCCTGGGGCTGTCGTGGGACCGCCTCGAAGCCTCGTGGGCCGATCGGGTGCGAGCGGGCGAGGAAGCCAAGCGACGTGATGTTTGTTTTTTGTTGCCGCTTGAAGGGTTGCGGTGCCTCGGGGCTTTCTTGGGGCCGTCTCGTGGCTCTGTTGGGTCCGCTTTGGGGCTCTCTTGAGCCACCTTGGGGCCGCGCTGAGGCTTCGGGGGCCGATCAGAAACGAGGCGTCGAGAAGGCGAGCGACGTGGACGCCCCA